GCACCTGCACAAGACAAACTAGGCTACAAATTAGAGACTGTACAGCTTTATATTGCAATGGTAAGTTCTTTAGTCATCCTATACAGATACTTTTGTGATTTCCTTTAGCGAGTGTTGCCATCATTTCAGAAAACTGAACAGAGCAGAAAACCTACTAGCAGGAGTAGGCAAAACTTGAGCAAATCAGAGAGAGCTGCCCGACACTGAAGCAAGCAAACAGTAATCATAAAATAAATGAATGCTTATTTCATCTAGACACAAGCAATCTTGGATTGAGAGCAACAATTCCACTCTGCACTCGCATGTAACTGCTTTGATATTCTACTGGCTTATTAGACATAGTTCAATGGAAGGGAATAAGGATTTATGTTCTGCCTTTATGCCCTCTTTGGATACATAAGTATCCCAGAAAGAATACAGATTTAAAAAAAAAAAAAAAAAAAGGAGCCCTGGATCAAATCTACCCCCTACCCATGCCAGGCACACTCTGTAATAGTCAAACTCAAACCATTATACTTGGAGCAATAACTTGGAGGATATATGATTGAAGCCAAATCTCTACCAGGTTAAGTGGTATATACACATTTTATTTAGAAAAAAAAAAAGGGCAAAAAATAAACTTCATTAAACCCTCAAACAACTAAAAATGTACCAAGTATTAAACACTAAATTCACCAATTACACATAATTTCTTAATTTTAGTTTGTCTTTCATTTTTCATGTAACATTTTTTTGAAAATTTCCTTGCTAAAAAGCAAGCTATTAAAGTGCTGTTTGAAGAGTGTCATGAACCACCTCTAAAGGCATCTTATCACCATCACCTCGTTCAGCTTTTTATCTCAAACATTAACTGTACATGAAGAATCAAAAACATTACTTTTACAGTGTAAGTAAATTAAAACAAAGTCTATACAGCTTATGCCTTTTCCTGATACATTTGGACTACACAAAATATTTTATACATATTGCTAAAATATATGCATTTTGTATTTAAAATCTAGTTACCTGTTTGAACATAGTATCATCGGACTTTCAACAAAACCACAGCCTACTGCAATGGCATAAACAAACTGCAACAGCTACTTAAACACCGTAACGTATGCTAAAAATGTAAGTGCACTACAATATACACATTTTGATTAAATATTTGCTTGGACATGCAAAGCGTAACATACTAATGCAGATTTACTGATATATATTTTTAAATTAAACTATGTGCAATCATCAGTTTCAGGAAAATTATTAAACTGAATTGCAAAGTATTTATTTTTGTAAAATGTGAGACAAAATTCAGTGAGATAATTATTTTCAATTTCAAGAAAATTTCAATACATACTCAGTTAATGCAACTGCTAGAATTGAGAACCTGAAAGATCTTGGTAATAGCTTTGTTAGTCCACTGTACTCATTTGCTTATTTCAAGAAAGTAAGTGCAAAATACTACGTGATTTCATAAACACTATCCCACATCCAGTAATGGATACCAAATTCAACATCTGCTGTTCTTCCATTTTAATCTGATTACTTTTCTAGATTACTTCGTACTATGTGCAACACAGTATCTTTACAGGCTATAAAAGCTGCAAGTTGGTTATAGAATGGCGCCACATTAATGCATTACTTAGATTTTTCCGATGACAACGTCTCATCAGGCCAAAAACCATTCCAATGCAATTTGTTACAAAGATAGAATGGATTCTTACTAGTCTCAAAGTCACATATCTAACTACTGTCACACCATTATCTTCGCTCCTCCTGCACCTATTACCACAATTCCTCTTTTAAATACATATACCTGAAGCTCAGAATCAGAAAATAAACCTGATTTTGTTGAAAATAATTAAAACGTGTTACTTAATACATATTTCTAATAATACCCCTCATACTGCAAGAATGTAAACTTTCCCAAATCCCAATAGTGATAGAGTCCCAGATTGTTCAGCTGATGAGGAAAACTTTAAAGTTAGGAATCCAAGGACTTCTTTCAAGGTACCTTACTATACCGTTTAACAAGAATTCTGCTTATTCTATAGAAGACTCCTGTCTCGAATTTGCATCTACAATTCTGTCCTAATGCATCTTATGCAAGCTCATTCCAGCTGGAAAGCAGTTTACTATCTACTTGGACTAAACACACATCCAAAGTGATACTGTAATCTAGACTGGTTTGAAGATCCTTCCTGTAAAGGAGAAAGCCACCAACCAACATGAGTAAAAATTCATTTATGACTTTGTATTTTATTGGGAATTTCTAACTTTATGAAAAAAATTTGCTCAATGTATACTTTATTTTCATATACAACCAGCAGGTTGTAAATAAAATATCCTCGTTATCTACAGATTAACAGAAAAGATTCAAGTCTGGACCACTCTCCCACCATGAGTTTAGATTTACACTCATGTAGCCATCTGCACTATTAACAACTGTTTCCTGAGATACCTTCCTCATGATAGAAAAGCACCTGTACAATAGGCAAGTCTTAATCCCGTACGGTAATTTGGCATTTGAGAACAAGTGACAGAAGTCCAACAGAACAAGACCTCAAAGACATACACACACATCAAAAGACATTCTCCTAGAAAAGAAGTCTCCCTCCCAAAGAACAAGTTGACAGCCAAGAGTAAAAGCATTTCCATACAGATTTTGACATTTCAGCTGCTTTATTTTAAAGCTTCAGAGTACTAAAAGACACAGAAGAAGATCCATGCTCAAGGCTTTGCTTTCACCAAGAGCTGTTGGTTAACATTAACAGCAGTACGGAGAGTATTGCCTGCTCTAGCTCATCAGTCAGTAACTAATACATTTAATGTAGAACCAGAGGTCTAAGCAGATAATTAAAATGGAAATGGACAATTTAATATACTTAAAATGTGGAGTCATGCAAAAGAGCTTTGGAAGATCAGCAATAAAATACACTATTATTTAGATTTAAACCAATCAGCTGAAGTACTCTTGTAAGAAGAGAGAGCACCTCCAGGCTTTCGCACAACTCTATCTGAAAGACGCAAAGCTTTACAGTCCCTGCTAGGGGAAATTCCCCAGACAACATTAAAATTTTTGGACAACTTTGTATCAGACTGGCTTTTGCATCTCTGACTCAAAACTATGCTTGTTTTATTACAGCTACAAAGAACAGATCCTGATTTTTAAACATGCATGGGCCCACTTGTTGGGGCACACATGTACTCTTAACCCACTCCACCTTATCAAGTTTGGTTTAACTAGTAAAAAGGGACATGAGAGGGCTACTCCGCACAAGTAAAATTGACGAATATTCCTCTGAAAGAGCACACAGTTATTTATTCTAGAGCCAAATCCCCCCAAAAAGTTATTTATCAAGGTTGCAAATAGTCCCACAGCAGTGGCCAGGAATCCCTGTACTAGATACTGAACAACCTACTCCTCCCCACCTCAAAACCACACGCACGCCGTCAGCAAGCAGACAATTCAAAAACACTAAACACAGCTCTTGCCACTATCAGTAAAGTTTTTTTGCAAACAAAAAAATTTTAAATTTCACAAAATTTCTCCAGGTTAGATTTAAGTGACTTGAAAAGATTAAGGACAAAACTTGCTTCTGCTGCCTATGATGCAGCTGACTGCACTCAGCATAATGATTCTAGAGATCATTTATAGTGTCATGGACCAACAAAATAATGTTACAGGCTGAGGTCTGATATCAGGTCAAAAGACACATCGAACAGTAAACTTCTCCAGCATTTTCAGCATTGAACATGGACCTCAGACATTGCTCCTAACTGCGCTAGAAGACCTATATACAGCTTTATTATGAAAGCTCTGTTATGGAAGGTAGTCTTCTCTCAACTTCTCTACGGATGGAAGAAAAAAAAAAATCCTCATTCATGTGGTATTTACCGATCAGCATGTCCACATGTGCTTTGCTGTGCACAAAGCTAGACCCTTAAAATACAAAGTGTATGGAAACCTGTGTGTTTTACTCAGCTGTTACCTCAGCAATAGTTTCTTTCCCCTTGGTAACCTGCACATTTTTTTCCCAGTTTTTGCAATTTCAGTAATAGAATTAGTTTGTAATAAATTGTCCTTTACGAAATTACAGGAGACTAAGTCAAAATATTAAGTTTATATTAAAGTCATAATTTAATAGTGATCTGCGGGCATCTAGCGCCTGAAGCATGTTGCCCTATTCTGATAAATAGGGAGATTCACATCAATAATTCTGTGAATGCTGCCATGCATATGGTGTAAACATGCTATATATGGTATAAGCATAAGTAGCTGCAGTTAATCAGATGGTATTCACCACTGCTGGAGAGACAAAGGTGTTCAGTTATTAGGTTGTAACTAGAATTGTGGCACTCTGCCCTATGCCACCATTGAAATTGCTGCCAGAAAAGCCTCAAAAACAGCATCACTGAATGAAATGTTTGCTTGTCCAATCGAATCCAAATAGCTTCACATGTATAGTGATCTTGGTAAGCAACAACCAGGAAAGCCCAGAACTACTTGAAGCATTTCCATCAGATCTTAAAAGGAACAAGGATGTCTCAGAATACAAATACAAAGGAAAAGACAGTTCTCACCATGTGGGGGAATAAAAAAAACAAACAAGCCTCGATTTGACAAGGACAAGGGCGCATCCTGTGCCAGCAGGCTCAACTCTGCTGCCCTGAAGCCATTCTGCTCCATTTACTGGAGTACATTGGTTTATATAAGCATGTACTAAATACAGAGAGGAAGCCTTCTAGAGTTTGAAACTGAAAGACGTTTTTGTAGTATTATGCAAACAGAGGTAAAATATGCAATTTAAGAGCAAAAGCTGTAGAAAAGGAAAAGAAAGATAGCTCACGTAAGAGCACACCAGAACAGCTGTACAGAACAGAGGTGCCACATCACTCTTGGAAGAAAAGCAAACGTCCTAAGTCATAAACATAATAGACAAACCTTTTCTTCTGAGCTGTAATTTGTGCTGTAACTACCATCAAAAACACTACCAAATATCAGTGATAGAAACACTTACCTTACGCCTATAAGTAGTGCTATCAGCATTGAACAAATAGGATCTGCTATCATTAGACCATAGTTCTGCATCAATATAGCAGATATGATTACACCAATACTTCCAAGCGTGTCTGCAACAATGTGTAGAAATACACCTGTAGGAGATTAATTGATATCATTACAACTTGGTATTCTTAAAGCTAATGGACTATTTCAAAGACAGTTTATGGAGAAGAGTTACAAGAACTAGATAACATTTATGATTGTTAAATTTGTGGTCAATTTTTGGTCAAACATAGAAAGCAATCACAGGTTTTTAACATATTTGTAGAATTTGCAGAATATTTGAAGAATTTACATTATTTTCTGCACTTAGCAGTAAGGGGTATTTCATGGCATGGCTATCAACTTAAGCAGTGATTAAGAGATGTAGCTAAATTTTTTTCATTCAATACCCACCCATATTACAGTAAAGAAAATCATGATGCCTAAAGACAATGATAAGTACCGCATAAGAAGGAAAGACTTAACAGAAACAGCTTTGTAAAGCTTTGAAATGTGCTAATGTTTCATTGACGATATCTTGTAGAAGTTATTTGGCAAAGACATCCAAGGCAAATGATTTTGAGAATTAAACAGTACTGCAGACATTAACAGCTTCACTCTTTATTTTGAACAATAACACACTACCTTAAAAGACAAAGAAACAAGGACTTTGCAGCTAGCTAAAACTTAGCCTTTGGAGCTCTCTGCTGGCAATGACAGGAACAGTCATTCAGAAACAGCTTTTTGAATACAGGTCTCCAGATTCAGACAATCCTTCCTCACAAAAACAACTCACAACTATAAATCAGCTCTTCAGTGATTTTTCCAAGTCTACATTTGCACTGGGTCCAGCTGGGATGGATTTCATTTTCTCCACAGCAGTCTGCATGATGCTGTGCTTTAGATTAATGACTAAAACTGTGTTGATAACACACCAATGTTTTAACTATTGCCAAAGCACTTGCACAGCATCAAGGCCTTCCATTTCTCCCTCTGCCCCCATAGCAAGTAGGCTGGGGTGGGAAAGATGCTGGGAGGGCACACAGTCAGGACAGCTGACCCAAACTGACCAGAGGGGTCATACCAATATGGTATACATATATAACGGTCACACCATTCCATACCATATAACATCACACTCGGCAATGAAACCGGGGTGTTGTCTTTCCAGAAGAGCTTGTTGCTCAGAGACTTCCTGGCCATTGATCTGCTGGTGGGAGGTGGTGGTGAGCGATTGTCTTTGCGCCGCTTGGGGTTTTTGGGTTGTGTTTTTGTTTTCCTCCCTTCACTTACTAAACTGTCTTTATCTCAATCCAAGACTAGTTCTCACTTTTACTCTTGTACTTCTCTTCCCTGTCCCACTGCAGGAATGAGCACGCAGCTGCTTGGGTGCTTAGTTGCTGGCCAGAGCCAGCCCATGACAGTATTGAAAAATGAAAATAAATTTATATAAAATTGAGTCTTTTTAATATGCTTCAATTAAAATGTGCCTTTCATGAAAAGACTGACTTCTAAATCTCTTCTACTGAAGTTCTGAGTATACATATACGTAATTCGGTATACTATAAATTCTGGAAGAGGTTGAAAATGTTCCTTTTCAAGGACTACTAACAAGCTAGAAAATCATCCAATAAGAGAAAACTGTATGTACATCTGGGTATGCCAAATAATTATTACCTCTCACATTACATAATGTTCTCCCTAACTTTTGAACACTTAAATAAAAATTTACATAATTTAGACTGACATCTAAATTATCAGCAATTTATTTACACTAATGGTCAGGAGATCATGGACTCCAATACTCCTTCAAGCAATTTAGAGTGAATTACCATCTTGTCTAAACCAACTGTATTACCTTGATGAAATGCAAGTTTTAAGCTTTTTAAGCTCAGGTACCCCTTAACAATTATATCAATCTGCATTTTTCAAATACATTCTGTCTTAATAATACTGTTTTTCACTTTCCAGAGCATACAGTGCAATTAGGCTCCTTAGGTTTCTACCTTTAA